AAATATATAAAATTTAAATTTATTAATAAAATTATAAAGAGAAAAAATTTTGATTTTTATTATATTTTAGTAATAAATTTAATTTTTAATATATTATCTTTAATTATTATTATATATATAAAATTAATAAATTAATAAAATTTTAATTTCAAGTATTTTAATTTATATAAAGAAAATTTAATAAATTTAAATAAATAAATAACTTTTGAATTATTTTTTAAGAATTTATAATTTTAAATAATTTAAATTAAAGTTATTTATATTAAATAAAGTATAATAACTACTTAAAATTTTTATCATATTAAATATTTTTTTAAATAATAATTATTTAATATTTTAAAAATTTATATTAAGTATAATAATATTTTTTATAAAGATTAATATAAAAAATAATTCTTGAACTTTTAAATATTTTTTAATTTAATATATTATTTAATAATATTTTACAAAAAAATTTTAAATTTAAATTATAATTTTATTTAAATTCATATTAATAATTTAAATTAAATTTGTAAAATTAAAAAAAATTAATTCAAATTTAATTTAAAATTTCAATTTTAATTAATTATTTTTATTTAAATAATTATAATTTATTAATAAAATTTTATTAAAAATTAAACTATTTTATTTTTTAATAAAAAATAATTTATTTTAAATATTAAATCTTTTTATAAATATATCTTTATAATTATATTTTTTTATATTTACTCTTTTTAAATTTTTCAGTTAATTAATTTAATTATAATTAAAAAAATCTCTTAATAGTTATATTTTTTTAATAATTATTTAATTTTATTTTCTCAAATATAATAATTATAAAAGATTTAATTATATTTTAATAATTAAATTCAAACTTGAATTAAATTTGAGCTTAAACTCAAATTGAACTTGAATTCAAATAAGATTTGAGCTTGCTTAAACTCAAATTAAACTTCAAGTTTGATTTAATTTTTTAAATTCACTTTAAATCTAAGCTCAAGTCCAGTTTAATATTAATATATAATTAAAAATTTGATTTATAATACAATAATTGTAATGACTAAGTAATCTGTACTATATAAATAATTTTTTTATTTTTTTTGAAATAAATTGTAGATTAATCAGATTATAGACATGAAATATTCACGTGATCCGATATGAGCAAGTTAAAAGTTCGTTATATAATTGAATTTTATTTGGATTGTCTATATATACAATTAAAAAATAATAAATACAACAATTAATTACATTAATATTAAATGACGAAAATATTCCTCCTTTAATAATAAGGATGTTTAATAATAATAATAAAGGATGGAATGAAAATTCTATATTTTTTTTGAAAGATTATGCGTGTACGCAAAAATGAAAATAAAGAAACGATTGTTCGATGAATAACGAAAAATCGAATTGAATGAATTAACGAATAAATAAACAATTAATAATTAATAGTTAAGAAAATAAATAACACAATAAATCTAGTTATGGTTACAAACAAAAGGTTCTATGAAATTAAAAAATATGTTATTTATCTACCATAATAAAGTCCTCAATTACCAAGAAAATAAAAAAAGGTAATGTTTCTCTAAGACATAAAAAAATGTTTATCTAGTGAAGACCAACCCAATCATAACCAAACATAGAAGGCGAGAATCGCATTTTCATCCAAACCCAATCAACATTACCGATCACTAGTATCGTCGCATTCGACTTGTTGCTCCCGGAGCCATAGTACTAGCACCCTGAATTTCCTGTGCAAGATAATGCTGAGGATGCATCATCATTGCTATTCGATCTTCTAGCTGTGCTTGGCGTTTTGCCTCAGTTGACAATCGAGTATATAATTCTGAATTATATGGGAATGACAAACCATCCCCCTGCGAGCTACCTATTGGTACTATACAAAAAAAAACATGTGTCACTCATTACCGTTTCAAAGACAAATAATAAAGATAGGATACTCACTCAGGCACAGCCACCACCTTGATCCCATTGCCGCCTTAAAATTCTTTCGCCATCCTAAATCCCACAAATTCTCACCGGGTTGTGTGGTAGCAATTCCATATCCAAGGGGATTGTTGGCGTCAAATTGTATGCGTACGTGGTATTGACGTGACCCAACAGAAATACTCTCGATGGTGGTTCGATTTTGAAATATATATGTTGTGTGAACAACGGTGAATCCGGATAATAAAATCCCAAATAAGAATGCTCTTTAAATATAAGGCGTGGCCGGTTAGTTAACATAGAAACATTAAACTATGCTTCATATTATTGATTGATTAATAGATATAATGTAATACTTACAATATTAATAAAACAATCCACTGGATATCAATATCTTTCTATTTCAAACAATAAATCCAGATGTTAGATCAATTCTCTTCTCAACGAAATTCTCCATGTAGAAATTATACTTACGCCAACTTTTGCTTGTTGAACTACAATTGGTATCGTAGCGGCGAATGCAAAATCCGCGTAGAATGACGTGTAAAAAATAAACAAGTAAAAAAATTTATAATTTCTGTGACCAACACATCCATTTACCCTGAATGATAGAGAATAAAATTTTAAAAAAAAGAGATCAAATAGACATACAATAAATCGAAGAAAATTTGAATTCAAGGTCTTTTTACCATGGACAATGACTATAATTGAAATAAGAAATAAATATAGAGATTTGTTATTGCTCTTGTTTTCAATAGAAATAAAATAAAATAAACAAATAAATATAAAATAAACAAAACATACTGATCCATCCTTAATACACAAGTATCGCATTCTGAACAATGATGACATCGGTCCGGTTTAACACAATTACAGCGTTCACAAAATCGTAACTGACCATTCTTTTTACTCACGAACACATTTGTCATTGGTATTTGGATTTGCGTCGTCGTCGTTGTTGATGAGGTTGACATTAATGATAATGGTGGTGGATGTAATGCTGTTGTTGTTGGTGGTGATTGTGGTGATGGTGGTGATGATGATGAAGATGCTGTTGCACTTTGAGATGATAACACAACCGTTGGTGATGCTGCTGATGATGATATTGGAAGTTCTGATTGATTTTCTGATGACATAACATTTATTGTTGCTGTAGATGTATCGTGATTTTCATCAGTGCCAACTTCTTGAATTGTCGGTAATGGATTTGGTGAAGTTCGCAGATGAGCATTTTTCATAGGTTGTATTACGTCTTTATTATTTAAAGAATCTGATTGATGTGTCATTTGATGACCGTTATTACTTGTTATTTTTGATGATGATGCTGATGCAGAATTTAATTTCAATGATGGATCGGATTCATTATGTATCACTGCTGATGTTGTTCCCATTATAGATTGTTCTGGTTGTATTGGTATTCGTGATGATATAGTTGTTGAAGTTTCTGGCTTTTTATAAATATGCAAAAAAAATTAATTTTGAAATAAGAAAGTAAATTGAGGTATCACAAAAATGAAATTAACAAATTACATCTCTAGGTGATCCGGGACTTCTGAATAATACTCTTAAATATGACCACAATACCATCAGAAACAGTAGATTAAATATCGATAAATATACGACTAAAGATTAAGTTTGCAATCTCAGAGATTAATAGCAAATAAAAAAAACATCAGGTAAAAGATAATGATATAACATGTAAAACAATAATACCTGCTTGGGTTATGTTTGAGTTCAATAATCGATTAACTGTCATTGAAAGAATGATAATACAAAATTAGCATTAACAAAAACAAGATTAACGAATCCCTAATTTTTCTTCATATACTGATCGAAAGAAAATCATTTACCACATATCCGAAACACAAACACGTAATAAGTATATCCGACCAACGCGAACACTATCGCTGGCATAAATCGACCAATAAGTATCGTCAATGAACTCATTCTTATTATTATGATTATTATGATTACTATGATTATATATTTTTATTATGTTATTTTATTAAGGTTTTTGTTAATTGATTGAATGACTGATTGATTAAATGTCAAAGATCCCGCTATAATGTGTTTTCAATTTGTTATCCTTCTTCGCGTTCTATTATATATACTCTCTCACAGCACAAATATGCGAAGAATCAGGAGTATTGCTCAAAGCAACGCGCACGACATGTATTTTGTATACTTAAATATGTAAGGGTTTATGCGTTTAAGAGTATATATAACTTTAAAAGTTCATGAATAGAGCCTAAAATTTCAAAAAAAGTCACAAAGCTAGATCGAAAATCAAAGACGCACGAAAATACGAATGGCAAAGTTGAAAAAAGCAGTAAAAATAGATCGATTGTTCTGTTTTTTTGGTGTATTTCTCCTCTCATAACATGAGCATTCGTCGTAGTCGTAATTGTTGTGTCTGATACTCGACACAATATCAAACAAAAAGCTCAAGCAATAGACGCTAATATTGATATGGATAAAAGCGTATCGTCCAAAGATAAAAGATAATTATCTGTGTATCACTTTTATTTCAAAATACTCAGTGAGCACAACATATACTATACATGTATATATAAAACCCAATAATCATACATCAAAAAAAGGGAAACTAAAATATATGCACTCTCTCATTTAGACACAAAGCGAAAAAATAATGGTAACTTTGATCTTTGTTAGTTATTGTCGTAATGTTATCATTATTCACAGCAATCTAATGTACTGTTAATCAGCATGCACCGTTATCTCTTGTTTCGTTTAATTTTTAATTAATTTGTGAAAATGCGGGGTTAGTAGTCCTTTAAACCATACCTCCCAATAAGGTTTGAAATCAGTTGGCGTAAAAAAGGTTTCGAAGCCCCCTGTTCACAATGCTAATGATGTAATAATTGGTCTTGAATGAATCCCAAAATCGGATTGTGTTTTACAGAGAACAATATTCAAAGAGGAATTCCACCTCAAGTTGTCTTAATTTTATAGAAAGCATGTCTAAAAGAATTACTTTTGCATTTTGAGAAAACGCGAAAAGAAACATGTGGAAATTATAAAATTATACCTATGTACTAAGTTTTATTTATCAATGGCCTTAAAACCACTGTTTAGGACTACATGTAATTAATAAGTTGATTAAAAATGAAATATGATATCATCTTGCTATTCTTGCAGTAAAAAATATAGTTTATGTATGATTTATCATCGGGGGAAAATATATTTGATATATCACTATGAAGATCATTACATTAGCGTATTCATCTGAAATTTGGTTTCATAATTATTATTAAAATGGATAAAAATAATACGTCTCGGGATAACCCATTAAAGTACTCCAAATATCTTTCCGCATATTTATCGCAAACAAAACTTGTCGATCAAGGTGTTACCGTCGCTTCCTTTTGTGATTTGAGCAAAGAAAATGAATCTCCTACATATTCATCATCAAAATTGGTAAATTCGTTGATGTTATCATCAAGAAATTGGGATATCAAAAAGCTGATTTCGAAAGTGGATAATATCGCGCAAACACTCGATGAAAATTTAATAACTGTTCGAAGAAAATCATTGACAGAAGATATTAATGAGAGTAAGAGTAATGAAGAAGAGGATGACGATAAAAGAAATGTTAAACAAGGGTCAAAAGAACTTCTTCAATCGCTCATGGATGAATTAAAGCATTTGCGTGAAACCGTATCTCAATATAGTCAGTTGGACGAATCCATCAAGAGGACGAGTGAGTTTTTATCTTATCATTTTCTGTCCAAATTAGGGAAAAAATTTAATAAATACTGATATCCCAGTCGAAAAGACGCAAAGCAGTCTAAAATCAGAGATCACACAAGAGCTATGGAACCAAATCACCGCTCAATTATCAGAATTCAGACAAGACTTTTCCAAATTAATTGATGATAATACACGATTACAAGAATCAAAGGATCAGGTAACATTTCAAAGTGTCGCTGAATCGAATTCATGGAATTTGGGTGAGATCCGAAATGAACTTTATGCTCATCGGCAAATGCTAGATACGATAATAGAGGTTTTCCGTTTTTTGCTATTACGCATCTTTTTATAACTTGGATCTCTATTAATTCTTATTTGTTTCAGCAAAATAAAATCATATTCCAACTCCATGAACGTTACTTACTTGAGTTTCAAAACAGAGGTTCGATTTGTTAACAACTTGATTTTCTAATGAAATAGCAACATTAACTATACATTTCATATAAATCGTAGAAATATTCAAAGAAATGAATAATATTAATAGCAGCAGTAATAATGTTTTCAAGGGTCCGATGATTGATAATGAAGTAAAACAAGAATTTATTCATGAAGAACAACATTATCATCAATTAGAACCACTCGATACTCATATTAACAACTTCGATCATCATCATCCTCAACATCTTTTCAGTAATCTATCACCGTCATATACAAATCGAATGACTATGAACTTTAATTTGTCTCAATCTCAGATTCATCAAAGTCATTTCTCTAAAATGAATTGTCGATTACCACCGCCATCGACAATACTCATCCAGAATCAGCATAAATGCCGGTCGTTTTCTGATGACAATGACAAAAACGCTAACAATGACAATGAGCTCATGGAATTGCCTTCGCTCAGAAATCTGACTCGTGCGAGGTAAGAATTAACATTATATATAATATACGATCATCTCAAAATTCCATGCTTATAAAACATTAAAATTTAGTGAAATAATTACTTCTGATTCTGATATTACGATGAATACGAATGCAACAACATCCCTTCCACGGATCCAGAAAAAGCAACCCAGCAATAATAATATCACCAATACTGGTATTCCAGAAGAGACGGTTTCCTCGATAACATCCACAAGATCAAATAACAAGGTATGTATTGATTAAAGTTCATATATTAATACTTTGTATTTCGACTGACTGAATTCAATAAGGTCAATAAAAAGCGGAAATTGATTGTCGAAGACGAGGAATAAAGAAATACACTAGTGATCGACCTCGCCCAACCATAAAGTTTATAGCATTGAGAATAATATAAAATCAGATGTCTTGTCCTGTATAATATAAATAAAGATCGACAATAATTGTCTCCAGATGCACAAAAATAATGATATGATTATCATCCCCCAATAAAACAACTACCAAATCCCCAACGAAAAAAGTCGCACGCTTTGATCATTTTTTATTTTACTAGTCTCGAAAATTTGATTCTTCGGTCATCCAAACTTACTTTATCCCTTTTTTACAAATGTGATCTTCAATTTATTTAAAGTCCATGTCATTTTTTGATTCAAATTTGATTATCTTCAGTTAATTTTTATCTCATTTCTTCCGTGTTTATGGTGCTCGCCGTGTCTACTAAGGCAGCACAGTTAATGCAAACTGTGTATGCTGCTTTTAATTTAAAGCATGCTTCACCGATATTCGTTCAACTCAAACAACATCTGGGCTTGGAAGATGTTAGTAAAGATAAAGACAAAGAGGATAAAAATATTGTGGACAACAAGCATATAAACCAGGATCCTGAAAGTACTAGTAATGATAGTATTGAATCTTCTAAAGGAAATGGTTTAAATATGCTTGTTCATCCTCATTATCGGCCCCCACGGCTACCCATTGTTCTATGTCATGGTATGTTGTTTTAATGAACAGTAAACAATTTGCTTTCTCAAATTGAGAATTAAGCTTCTTGTTCTATTTCTAGGGCTCTTTGGATTTGATAAATTAGGTAATGGCTTTTAATTCGAGATTTCGTGATATTTGTCTATGTATATGTATTTTTTTAATTCTCATATTTATTTGATCAACCGATCGATTAATTTAATTCCAGGACCTACCTCACTTCCTCAATTACAAATACATTATTGGGGCGGTGTTCAAGAAGCACTGCAAAAAATTGGCGCACAAGTTGTGGTCACCAAAGTCCCAAGGTGAGAATTCTTTCAAATTCGACATTCAGGTGAACATGCTCACTTGACTATGTGTGCTATCTTTAGTAATTGTAATACCTACCAAAATGAATGAATCCCTTTTAGAACCGGAGGAATTAGAACACGCGCACAAGAATTGCATCGAATCTTGGAAACTAATCTAGCCGGCACGGATGTGAATCTTTTGGCGCATTCAATGGTAGCATTCATTGAATTTGTTATTTAGACTTTGTATTTTCTTTTTGAGTGCGTTCCATATATAGATAGAGTAGTGAAATTGTATCTTCCATAATAGATATAAACAGACATGCGTATAATAGACACACCCACACCCACAAATTCTTCTGCTATTTTCTTATTCAATCATTATAGGGTGGCCTTGATTGTAGATATCTTATCGCGCATCTACCAACTGAGAAGTGTACAGTTCGTTCATTGACTACAGTCGCGACTCCTCATCGTGGCAGCCCTTTTATGGATTGGTGCAGAGATAATTTTGGCGTGGGTGTAGTCCCAAATTCGTTTAGCACGACGGTTAAAGCTGTGGACGAGACGATTAATCGATTGTCGGAAAATGCTTCACGTAAAAGTCAACGGGGAGATACTTCATCTAGTAACGATAAGGAAGCACCTATATTTAGTAAATTCAGAAAACTTGCCAATAACTCTGGAAATAAAGACCCATCATCCTCAGACAATAGGATTTCGTCGTCATCGTCGTCTTCTGATAATAAAAAATTACTTCCACTTTCGATTCATATACCAAATATAAACATCCATATTCCCAATATTCCCATTCCGAACATACATCTTCCACACATCTCTCTTCCTAGTATCTCGCTTCCAAACCTGAATGTAAGCCTTGCCTTGTCTTCCACTCTATCCTCAACCACTGCGATAATAAATCCTCTGACACGCCTACTCATACAAGCCGTAGATACACCAGCATACAGTAATCTCACAACTGACTACTGCACCAACCATTTCAATCCGAATACGCCTAATCACCCATCTGTCGCATATTATTCTTATGGTGCCTCTACGGACATACCCATTTGGTCACCGTTGTATTTTCCACATCAAATAATCAAGGCTAAAGAAGGGCCAAATGATGGGTTGGTTAGTGTGAAGTCAGCACAGTGGGGTAGATATATTCGGACTGTGGATTGTGATCATTGGGATTTAACTGATCGTTGGCGTATTAAGATTGGAGGAGCCAGTAAATTTGATCCTGTGGAATTTTATCTTCATGTGGCAACCTTTCTTGCCAAGGAAGGTTATTGATAGGTTGATTGCATATATAATGGACATAAAGACATACGCGTACTATAGAGAATATAGAATAATGATTGTATAGAATTTTTTTTTACTTAAATGATTTATTTTTTTAATATAATACGGTACAAAAAGATTTGTACCTCAGATCATTAATAAATTACATTTATTTTAAAACTTACTAATGATCAAATTCAAGAAATAATAAATTATTCTTATTAGAACGTTAATATAAAAAATATAAGATATCAAATTTTATTTAAGAATACTAAAATTTTCAAGACTAATAATCTCAAAAAAATCTTATTCAAGATAAGTAAATTAATTGTAATTTTTATAAATTTGAAAAATTATTAATTAGAAATAAAAGTAAATATAATATCTATAAAGAAAAATTCATCTAATGAATTAGTTTCAAGTTTTCAAGAAATTAATTTTTTTTCATAAACTGAATAATTATCTTTTCAAATTTTATCAGAATTTCTATTTTAACTTCTAATTTTTATATTACTTAATGATTCAAAAAAAAAATAAAATCTTATTATTCATATTATATTAAAGTAATTTAATAATTTATCTTTAAAATATAATAATAAATATAATAATTATTATAATTATTCAGAAATATATTTAATATATAATGAAAAATATAAAGAATATAATATGAAAGATTAGTAAGATAATAATAATTATTATAATAAAAAATATATTATCTTTATTATTATAATAGAACTTTTAGTGAAATTTCAATAATAAATATGAAAGTATAATTATTTATATAATTTAATTTTCATTTAAGATCATATAGTTTAAGATATATAATTTTTTCTCTTATAACTTTATAATTAAAATATAATAAAAATATGATGTAAACTGATAAATTTTTTTTATATATAATTATAGATTAGTACAAAAAGATTTATATCTCAAATAAATATTAATAGATTATTTTTCAAAATAAAATTTTAATTCTATCTTATTTAATTAAGTTACTAGATATTGAAATTTATTTAAATATAAAAATTTTTATTATATATCTTTTATAAAAAATTTTTTACTAATAATAACTTTTTTTAATTATTATTTTTTAAATTTTACTATATAAATATTATATAGTAAATAATTTAATTATTTAACTTTGAATCTTAATATCTTTATAACTATTAATTCAATTTTTATAAAATTTAAAATATATATTTATTAAATCTAGAGTATAGTTTAAAGCTCTAATCTTATAAATTAATAGTAATAATATTTAAAAGATAAATCTAATTGGAATATCCTATTTTAGGAATAATCTTGAAAAATTAATTTGACTAGAATCAGAAATTTCAAAATTTTTATTTGATTAGTTATTAAAAAATATAATATATAGTGATTTTTATTAGATGAAATGTGATAATTATATATCTATTATACTTTTTATTAGGCAAAAATAATTAGATTAGGATTAATATATTGTGATGATCTGAATATGTAATTTATGAGTTGTGTAGTTAAATAGAGAATTAAATAAATAAAAAATAAGTAAATATCTTAATAATTTTGATATGTTATACTATTGTATTCTAGTTAATTGCAAATATCACAAATATATAAGTATATTTTTTCTTTTTTTTAATCATGAATTTATAATATTTGATTTCTAAATATTTCTTTTATCATGATATTAATAGATTTTTAATTAGTTTAGATTCATTTTTCTTATTTACATTATTAGATTAGATTTCAAAGGGTTCTTGAAAATTTTAATTTCACACAGATTTGATAAGTATAGTTACTATTTTTTTATATTAGTCAATGAATTTTTTTAACTATATTATTATTTTATTATGATCATTATGATTAATAATAAGTAGAGTTACATATTACGTTAGTTCTTATATCTTTCTATATTTGACTTTTTATTATGCTATACAATATAAAATAGATATTATAGTCTTAAGTATGATCAAGAAATTTGATATAAGTATTTTATTCAATTAATTTCTTACTGATTTTTTATTGATAAAATAGTAGGTATTCATGATTATATTTTTATTTTTTTATTTATCATTATACTATCAAACAGATACTATTTAAATATAAAATTCTATAACTCTTAAATATATTATAACTTAAAAATAATAGTAATAAATAATATCATAATATATATTAGACATGCATGAATAAAGATAAGAAATAGAATTGATTACTATCACAAAATGTGAGTATTTATTTTTAGATCATATGTCCTTGATTTTTCATACTTCTTAAATATTTTCTTTATCAATCTTAGCAATTATTAATTTCAATAAAATTTGCTTAGTATCATATAAGTTCTTAATAAATTCATCTGTCACATCAAGATTGAAATTCTAAATATAATAAAAATATTAGATTATACTCAAATAATTTTGAATATTTATATTAAATCTTATTATCTCATCTTAAATATTTGATATATCTATTTGATCTATAATGAAATATAGATATTATACTATTTTTAACTATTCAGCAGATAATATGTAGGAGATAAAATATTTAGTTATTTATTTGTTAATTTCTAGAAAAATATTATGACTAACTGATATAATTTCTATATAAGATGATATAATATAATATTCAAAAAAATGATTTTACTATGTCTTGTCTTAAAATCTTGTATCTAGTATATCTATAAGATTATACAAACTATTACTTATTATCAATATGTGTTTAATAATATAATTAAAATTTTCAATACAAGAGATAATTTGAATTTCTATTATAAATACTTTTAATATAAATATTCAGGTTCATGCTTGTTAATTAGGATAGAGTACTCTTATCAGGTAATCTTTAATATTAAGATATATTTTAATAAGTTATGATTATTATTTATAAAAATATTCTTCATATAAGTTATTGTGATATAGAAAAAAGTTATAAATAAAGCTCTTATATTGATTATGAAGCTTAGATTTAAAATTTTTTAGCAGATTTTTGCTGATATGAAAAATATAGTGAATTAGATTAGAGATGGGAGCCACAACTAGCCGCAACTCTGTCGCAATTCTCTGATTGGCTGCCGCAACTCTGTCACAATTCTCTGATTGGCTGCTGCAAGCCGCAATTAGTTGAGGAGCTATTTTTAAATTAGATAGATAATTTTATATATTTATCTAATTGTAATATCTGTTATGGGATCTGTATCTATAATAAATATTAATAACTTGATTATTATTACTTTTTTAGTATATTCTAGAATTTATTTATAAAACTCAGTTATTTTATCTGATATAAGAGCTTATATTACAAGATATGATCTTATATTATTATTTATAGCAAGAAAAAGTAAAAGTAGTATTTGATACTGATTTATTTTGATGGTATTGTTATTTAAGAAAATATTATAGTATTCTAATCAAAGAATAATCTGTATTAATAATATTTAAAAGAGATAGATAAGTCAATTTTTATTATCTAGCTTGAACTTAATAGTCTATTAATAATCATATGATTTTCATTTGATAAAAGTTATTAATAGATGAGATGCATCTAGATTTTTATTAATATGAATTTTGAATTTTTATATAGTATTTACAAAATTATAATTAAAAATAGATTTATTTGAAAACTTTGTCTTCAATAATCTTCTTTAAGTACCAATTATAAGATTTTTATTTTTAATCAAAAATTGAATTTTGTTAAGAATATTCTCAGAGATACTCTAATATATTGAAGCATAATATTGAGTATTAATGTTTAATAAATGATTATATATATTATTAAAAGTGATAAGAGTTATAACTAAAGTATTTTGTGAAGAGTTAATATTAGCATACTAATTATATTCTTATTATTTTGATTTATAATCATAATAATCATGAATATTTACTTTTTTTTTAATTGAGAACAGTTACTAAATTTATATCTATAACTAAGATACTTTATATACTCCTCTTCATATCACTTTAATCTTTTTTAGACAACTCCAAATTCTTTTTATTTGTCATAAATCTTTATGATACTATCAATTTCTTTTTATGATTTAAAGATATAACTAATACAAAAATTTATAACTTCATGATCATTTATATTATTATTATTTTAAGTTTATGTATATATAAGTATTTTAAAATGATAATAGTAACTATATTTATAGTAATTATTTACTTTTATAGCTTCAAGAAGTTATATAACTAATTATCTTCTCAATAAAATAATATATATATATTTTATTTCTAACAAAATTTAATTATTTTTTCAATAAAATAATTATTTAAGTTTACTTCTAATAAAATACTTTCTTAATAGAGCAAGAAAAAAATAAGATAAGATATATAATAAAATATATATATTTATTAAAGAAAAATATCAATTAACTACTCTTAACTCAGTAGCTGATTCTTTCTATTAAACTTAATTATTTTTTTTAATTACTTCTTGATTTTCTATATATAATATTTTCTTATTACACTAATTATAAATTATTTCTAACATAATATTTCACTTAATTTACTCAAGAACAAGTAAAATTTGAAAAGAATAATCACAAGAAATATTAAATATATAATAATAAAGGATTAAAATTAGTAAAATATTAAGTTATTCAAAGCTAAAGTGAGAAATAAAAGAAAATTAATAATAATTAATTAAATAATCATTAATTTAATAAAACTATAAATTAAATATAATACATATAGCTAAATTAATAAATAAATAAGACTAAATATAAGTAATAATATAAACTAAAAATAGAATTAATAATAAATAAGATTAATTAATATAAATTTCTTATTCATTTGATTTAGTAATGATTGATGATTACTATCCTATATACTGTGACTACATCATATATTGTACTATATCTATTATATTATATGAATAGGTAATTAGTTACAGAATCTCTGGCTTTAAGAGATTTACTTTGTAAATCTTTTTAATTATTGATGATAATTATTAGTTCTAGATTATTAAACTTAATATACAATTTCAAGTGATCACTATTATATAAATTCTTTAAGACTTTTCTATTTTTATTTCTA